ACTCACCCACAGACTCGGCACTCACCCACAGACTCACCACTCACCCACACTCACCACTCACCCACACTCATCACTACACAGAGACCCACAGACTCACCACTCACCCACAGACTCCCCACTCACCCACAGACTTGGCACTCACCCACAGAGTCAGCACACACCCACAGACTTAGCACTCACCCACAGACTCACCAATCACCCACAGACTCACCACTCACCCACACTCATCACTACACAGAGACCCACAGACTCACCACTCACCCACAGACTCCCCACTCACCCACAGACTTGGCACTCGCCCACAGACTCAGCACTCACCAAAAGACTCAGCACTCACCCACAGACTCACCACTCACCCACAGACTCACCACTCACCCGCAGAATCAGCGCTCACCCACAGACTCGGCACTCACCCACAGACTCGGCACTCACCCACAGACTCAGCACTCACCCACAGACTCACCACTCACCCACACTCACCACTCACCCACACTCATCACTACACAGAGACCCACAGACTCACCACTCACCCACAGACTCACCACTCACCCACAGGCTCACCACTCAACCACAGACTCAGCACTCACCCACAGACTCACCACTCACCCACAGAATTAGCGCTCACCCACAGACTCACCACTCACCCACAGACTCACCACTCACCCACAGACTCCGCACTCACCCCCAGACTCACCACTCACCCACAGACTCACCACTCGCCCACAGACTGAGCACTCACCCACAGACTCACCACTCACCCACAGACTCAGCACTCACCCCCAGACTCACCACTCACCCACAGACTCACCACTCGCCCACAGACTCAGCACTCACCCACAGACTCAGCACTCACCCACAGAGTCAGCACTCACCCACAGAGTCAGCACTCACCCACAGACTCATCACTCACCCACAGACTCAGCACTCACCCACAGAGTCAGCACTCACCCACAGACTCAGCACTCACCCACAGAGTCAGCACTCACCCACAGACTCACCACTCACCCACAGACTCAGCACTCACCCACAGAGTCAGCACACACCCACAGACTTGGCACTCACCCACAGACTCACCACTCACCCACAGACTCACCACTCACCCACAGACCACTCACCCCACATCACTCACCATTAAACTCATCACTCATGCAGAGACCCAAAGACTCACCACCACACAGAGAACCATAGTCTCACCACCAAACAGAGACCCATAGACTCAATCCTACACAGAGACCCATAGACTCACCACTACACAAATACCAATAAACTCACGACTACACAAAGAGCCACAGACTGACCACTCACCCACACTCACCTCCATACAAATACCAACAAACTCACCACTACACAGATGCACACAGACTCACCACTCACCCACAGACTCGGCACTCACCCACAGACTCGGCACTCACCCACAGACTCGGCACTCACCCACAGACTTAGCACTCACCCTCAGACTTACCACTCGCCCACAGACTGAGCACTCACCCACAGACTCACCACTCACCCACAGACTCAGCACTCACCCACAGACTCAGCACTCACCCAAAACGTCTTACTCAGATTGTAAATGTTGTGGCTTGGCTCTCCAACACACCAGTGTGCTGTACTAGTGACGAATTGGCATGTTCTGTTTACGTGACAACCATTACTAGTTGGCTGTGTCGGGTGGTGGTGGGTTTAAACGACACATTTAGAAATTTTCGCGAGCTAACCCAAAAACCTCTATTATTAAGTGAGGAAAGTATGGAAAAGATAAATTTTCCTTTTGGCTGCAGGGTAGGCACCTGGTTGCAGCCATTGTCGTGCTGTTTGCAAGCTGCCTTGGTTGTTGGTGGACTGGAGTTTTATTAGCTGTGGCAGCAGCCATGTGTGCTGTGTTAGTTTTTTGTGTAGCTTATTGATGTTGAGGAGTTGCATTCGCTCTAGGTGCAGGCATAGCAGCACTGGTCGCATGCTGTCTTGCTTCTTTGTGTTCAGTAGTGTCATTATGAATAGGTGCAGCCATCGCAGCACTGGCAGCATGCTGTCTTGGAGATTCATTAGCTGTATGTGCAGCACAGGTAGCATGCCGTCTCACTTCTTTGTGTTCAGGAGCTCTAATTGCAACCATTGCAGCACTTGTACGAATGGCATCAATTATTTTAATCGGCTTTGGTGAAGACAAGCGCACGTTTTCCGCAAGGAACATAGGTGGAGGTCAAAGTTAATAAGCAGAAAAGTGTAAATAGAACTGGTCTTTAGCAAAAATGTGTCTGAAATAAATGTAGTCCAACTTTACTTATTCTGGGTCATTGAGAATTAAAATGATTCTTAAAATTTTTGTTTGGCTCTAGTTTTCAAGATATGCGACTCGGTCCAGTATATACAACCCTTGACTTTGGGAATGGCAGAGGATGTGTGAGTTATAAAGAGAAGGATATTCAATTTAAACTAGAAATGACTAAAATACATATTTGGCTGGATCTATGAATAAATCTATGACTCGGTTTGGACAGTACTTGCTTTTTGAGCAAAACAATGAATGATGCGATCTGAACCTGGTATTGCGTCATGCATGATATGAATTGCATCATGATATTCCTATAAGTCATGGGTGATGCAATCATAACTAGGCTTACATCCCTCTGCTGAACAAATTACCCTATATCAGCTCTAGAAATCATGCAGTGTAGTGTTCTCTTATTTGTCAATGTTTGATTTTGCAAAGGGACACATTTCTGTTTAGCCAAAGTGAGCAGAGATGCCTCGTACTTGTGTATACAAAGCAGATAACTTCTGCAATGTTTGTGGTGAAGTGACTTTTGCATCACAAAATTGCAGTATAACCACTATAGTTAAGAAGGCCTATCACCTTTATTTCTGCTGCAAAATTGGAGATCAGGACAAGATGTGGGCCCCCACACATTCTGCAACACTTGTGCAACAAATCTTTGCCAATGATTGAACAGGAAATCTATGCCTTTTGCAGTGCTAATGATTTGGAGAGAGCCAACAGATCATATCAACATTTGTTACTTCTGCATGGCGCCTCCAGTTGGGAAAGGTGTGTCAAAGAATAAACGGTAAACTGTGCATTATCCAAACATTCCATCAGCTATACGCCCAGTACCCCACGGAGAAGGACTGCCGTTTCCTGACGCACCAGAATCATTCTCACTTGATTCAGATTAGGAAGGGGATGAAATTTCTGGTCCTGGACCATCAAGGTCACATGACCCAGATTTTCTCCCATCCTCCTCTGAACCACACCTCATAGCACAAGGTGAACTGAAAGACCTTTTCAGGGATTTGGAACTACCCAAAAGTAAGGCAGAGCTGTTGGGCTCCAGACTGCAGCAGTGGAATCTCCTGCCAAGTGATGTTAGGGTTTCCATGTTCGTGACCGTCAAAAGGATCTTGTCCCATTCTTCATGAAAGGTGACCTTGTAACCTGCAACAACATCGATGGTGTGATGGCAGCCCTCAACATCGTTCATGATCCAGATGAGTGGAGACTGTTCATTGATTCATCAAAGATGAGTCTTAGTTGGTTGAGTTAGTGGGTGAGTGTGTAAGTGGGTGATTGAGTGGGTGAGTGTGTAAGCGGTTGAGTGAGTGGGTGAGTTAGTGGGTGAGTTAGTGGGTGAGTGTGTAAGTGCATGAGTGAGTGGGTGAGTTAGTGGGTGAGTGTGTAAGCAGTTGAGTGAGTGGGTGAGTTAGTGGGTGAGTGAGTGGGTGAGTGTGTGGGTGAGTGTGTAAGTGGTTGAGTGAGTGGGTGAGTTAGTGGGTGAGTGTGTAAGTGGGTGAGTGAGTGTTTGCACAGTCACATAGTCACTTTAAGATGTTTTTCTTGTTCGTGTTTTTGTTTTTTTGTTTGTTGTGGTTGCACCCGATTCAAGAGCCGAATGGCTCACAGGGCTATACCAAAATAAACTGAACTGAACTAAAGCTATAATCTTAGTTCTTTTGGTAAAGTCACGTTGAAGGGAAACAACAAAATAATAAAATATATATAAAACAATAAAAATTCTCACGACGTTTCGACCATAACACAAACGGTCGTCTTCAGGTGTGTTGGTTTGCATACATTTATTTTTAAACGGTGCATTTATTTATTTATAAAAAACGTTAGCGCCACGCGCAGCGATTTGGCAGTTTATTTAGGACTAGTCCATCTATATTCTGAAAAGAGGAGGGGGGAGACGAATTTTTTTTTATAATGTATGCTGTCTGAAAGCCACTGTAAGCGTGAACAATCAATTAAGACCTGAAATGGTTTATCAAATCTTTCCAATGATTGCTAAGATAGAATCCATCTTCTCGGTTGAAATTGTCTCTGTGCTTGTATATGTGGATAGCCTCATGAACGAATCTCTCATGGTAGCCAGATGGCTACCATCTTAGCAATCATTGGAAAGATTTGATAAACCATTTCAGGTCTTAATTGATTGTTCACGCTTACAGTGGCTTTCAGACAGCATACATTATAAAAAAAAAATTTCGTCTCCCCCCTCCTCTTTTCAGAATATAGATGGACTAGTCCTAAATAAACTGCCAAATCGCTGCGCGTGGCGCTAACGTTTTTTAAAATAAATAAATAAATGCGCCGTTTAAAAATAAATTTATGCAAACCAACACACCTGAAGACGACCGTTTGTGTTATGGTCGAAACGTCGTGAGAATTTTTATTGTTTTATATATATTATTATTTTGTTGTTTCCCTTCAACGTGACTTTACCGAAAGAACTAAGATTATGAATTACTGCATTCACGAAAGCTTTAAATCAAAATTGAACTAAAGATGTTTTGCTGCATAATGGCAATGTTTTGCCATCAATTTCAGTTGGTCATGCAGTCCATATGAAGGAAACCTATGACAACATGAAACAACTTTTGAGGTGCATAAACTATGACCAACATCAGTGGCAGCTTTGTGGTGACTTGAAGGTTGTTGCTCTCTTGTTTGGTCTACAGATTGGATACACAAAGTATTTCTGTTTTCTCTGCGAATTGGATAGGCATGCGAGAGATTCCCACTACATTGGAGCCTGGGAGGAAAGGTGTTCAGCATCCAACACTTGTTGAATCAAGGAATATTTTGTTACCACCCGTACACATCAAGCTGGGTCTTATGAAGAACTTTGTCAAAGCCATGGACAAAACACATGTAAAAAATTGAAGACCAGTGTAGTATGTGAGTAAATGCTTTGTAGGGATTGTTAATGAAATGTTAGTTAAATGTATAATCGTTGTAGGAATGTGAAGACATAGCCACAAAGGAACGAAGTGTAAAGCTGTAAGTTGTTGGAGGGAGTAATTGTTTGTAGTGCTTGAAGTGAGTATGAATAGTATGCGTGTGGTGGTGTGTACATATATAATGAGTGTGTGCATGCTTTTTATTCGTTAATAGGCAATGTAGAATTTATGTATTTAGTCGTAGCTGTTGTATAGCGTCTATGTTGTGTAGAAGATCGGCAGTGCTGGGTTGTAGATATTTTAGAATAGTACGTGTTTTTTAAATAAATATTGCAGTGTGTGTTAGAGGTGAGCCGTGCACGTGCAGAGAGGATGGTAAGGAGCCGGAAGTGGATGAATTTGGCAGCAAAAACGCAGGCCTGATAATATGAGTGCGTGGAATTGTAGTTTGTGAAATATAATGTGTTTGCGTGTGTGGCAAACCGGAAGTCGTGAGAATGCCCCGGGCTTTAACACATAGCAATACAGAGGGTGGGGGGGGTTGGAGTTTGCAGGTGTTGAAGGTGAGCAGGTAAGCTAAAAATTGTGCGAAAAACACATTAAAACACACTCTCTCGCCCGTGAGAATGCATGAAAAGTTCAGGGTGTGTAGGTTTCATGGGAACAACGTACACGTGCAAAATCTGCTTTATTTATATAGATGTATACTATTTTTTATCTTGGAATATTTTTTGTATATGGTTTCTCAATGTTTATTTGAATTGCTTAGTTTTTAGTTATTTGGAATACAGTACAGTACTTATTTCAATTATGATGTAAATTTTAGTTGCCGTTTACCGAACGCCATGACTTATGTAAGGCTTAAGTATTGAATATCGCGCTTTTAGCTTTTGCGTGGCACTTTCCAAGAACGTAACCTCCGTGATATTCAAGGGGCTGCTGTATTTTCTGTCCATCGACTACAGCAGAGGAGTACTGCGGAAACTTGATCTCTGTTTTCTTGATGAAATTAAGGCCTATAGTTCCATAAAGAGTCTTTGGGCTTTGGGTTCTCTGTTTTCGATGTCTGCCTCTGCTCAGATTCGTTGATGATTTTTATTTTGGGCAGGCCCGTCTAAAGCTGCATGACCAGGAGTCGAAGCCTTTTCCTGTTCAACTTGGCTTGTGACAGGAATTCACTCTGGCCTCATGCATTACATTACATAGCATTGTCAATAATTATGTAGTTTATGCGAAGCTCACGATGGCCATATAAATGCATTGCATTCATTACGGTTGCAATGATATGCTAATCGATGCATGGTTAAAGTTTAGGGATCAATCTCTGCTTGTCAACCATGTTAGATATACTGATTATCTGGTAATGGCTACACAATCAGATGGAGTTAGGGAATCTTGTTCTGTGCCTGGATAATTCCATAATGAAATGGGGCCTTGCATATGTTCCACAAAAATAAATCGCCTGCCTGGGAATTTCATGTCATACAACACTGCACCTGCTCAACTCTCCATGAATAATCAGGCAGTTCTGAAAATGTTGGAGGAGCTCCCATACCTGGTTAATGTGTTCACGACCAGCTCTTAAAATTAATCTAGCAGCATTGTTTCGTTAGACTGTGTTGCACTGTGGAAGCTGCCTGGACTTTTGCTCCATCCAAAGCTGTGAGTGTCCATAGCCAAGGTCTGGTCCGTCTGAAACCATCCCTTTCCCCGCCATACAGGCATTGCACCCATCCCTCACCCTTCATCTTGCGGTTGGTGGGCGGACAGGATGGCGCCACGTAGCCATTCATGGCTGGGCCCGACTGGGTTACGTGGGTCACCGAGCCACCAGGTGCTTATTGGTGAACACCACCCCCAGGCCTCGTTCCAGGGGTGATATCAATATAGAATATCTGTAAGGATGCCCCCCAATAGACTCCCCCTCGCACTCTACCAGGCACATCCCACTCGGGGAAGACCGCGGTGGCGGCCCAGGACACGCTGGTGGGACTCTCTCGCTTGGCTGGCCTGGGAACGCCTGGGAATTCCCCAGGAAGAGCTAGAGTCTGTCACCAGGGAAAGGAAGGTCTGGACTGCCCTACTGAATGTGCTGCCACCACAACCCTTACCAGGACAAGCGGATTTAGGAACGAACGAACAAAGCCGAGTCGTTTTGACCGCATATTACTCCTTTCTCTGTGGATACAAAATATGAACTTATTTAAAGGCCTGCCTGTGATCCCTCTTATTGAACCAGACAAGATTGTATTAGTACCTTACAGATCCCTGAAATATGAGTACAGAATATAATCGGTAAGTCTTTTTGGCAAGCGAGCCTGCATTGGTTGGGTCATGAATCCTGCATACTCCGACAACGCATGGTCAAGCAGCTTCTGTTAGTGCAGATATTAGGGGCTAAACAGGCATGGCATTGGCGAAAGAAGAGATTGGAGGATGTAGAGGTGATTAGACCTGCTGATGATTTTACCAGGAGTGTCAAGATCAGCCTCTGTGGAGGAGGCCCATGAGGTATGTTGCAGGGCAGTTAGAGGTATTTGCTGTGCAACAACAATGAGGTCAGAGGAGCGACGGTCAGAGGAGCGACGCTCACATGGATGGGTGGAACTCTGGGTGCTTATAATGCAGAAAGACAGCGGGGAGCACAGCTGATGTATCTGTCAATTATCTCAGTCGGTTATCCCATGACATCTGGATCATTCCCATTACCTGCTGACAAGTGATCCACACTTACATGGCATTAAATTGCACCTATCATGGCATGAGCACTGTGACAGGTTACTTCAAAATAGTGATGAATGCTCACTGTTTTGTTTTTTCTCTTATTGATCCATGTGAAATGTATGTGTAATAGTTATCTCTGTGGGGAGCGGTGGCGCAGTTATTTCACTGCATTATGAACTCAACAATTAGAGTTTAATTATCACCAACAGCAAACATGATTGATAAGTGAAAACAACTTATTGTGGGCCTCTGCTATGTTTATTGATCCTCAATTAATTACATGGTGAAGTGAGGAAGTATTAATACTGAACATCTTCTTTGGTTCTTTCGGTAAAGTCACGTAGAATGATAATAAAATAATAAATTGATAAAATAAAATAACACAATAATATTCTCACGACGTTTCGGCCACAACACAAGCGGCCTTCATCAGGTGAAGGGGGCGAGACTGTCTGGTAGGACAGCGCTGGAGTGAAAGAGCCACGTTCAGATACGGCCTTTAAGCTGTGTGAGAGGAACAAAGCGCCTTGACAAAGGAATTAGCATATAATTTAGCATTGAAATGGCTGAATGATTAGCTTGTGACTGGTCACAGAAATAGCTATGTTAAAAGTTAAAGCATACACACCCGCAGAGGCACCCATTGTTAAAGGGATTAGCATAGAATTTAGCATTGAAATAGCTAAGTTAAGGCATACACATCTTGACAATGGAATTAGCATAGAATTTAGCATTGAGATAGCTGAGTGGTTAGCTTGTACCTGCTGCAGAAATAGAGCTTGTACCTGCTGCAGAAATAGCTACGTTAAAGTCAGAGCATACACATTCACCGAGGCCCTTAGTACAAATCAAACAGGAGAATTTAGCATTGAAATAACTAGGCGAATCCAGCATTGAAACAACTGAGTGATTAGCTAGTGACTGGTCACAGAAATGACTACACATCTAAGCTATTCACAGTACTATATAGTGAACCAATAAAAACTAAAATATAAATTACCTTCATGTTATCAATAAACTCTATATTCTCCAATCAGCTAAGCTACCAAAAATAAGTCGTTATATATCACAATGCTATATGGCGAAAAAATGGGTGGATTCTTACCCTCAAATTTCAGCACCACGGATAGCTACGGGTCCCGTTCAGACGGACGAGTTCGTCCATGGTCGGAACAGAGGAGGGGGAGAGAGACAGCTGCGAGGCCCTAGTATGCTCCATATTGTAAAACTATACCATTAACCGTGGTGTGAGAGGTATTAAGTGGCAATGCTGGCGAAAGAGCTGCGGTCTGAAGGTCATTGTAAAAATACAATTAATTAAGAACAGAAATGGTTTAAAACATCTTTCCAGTGGTTACTAAGCCTGAATCCATCTTCTCGGTTGAAATTGTCTCTGTGCTTGTATATGTGGATGGCCTCATGAACGAATCTCTCATGGTAGCCGGTTGGTTTGCAAAGAACCTCCCGTCTTGGAGAAGTCAATGTCATGTGAGCCCACTGAATTATAACAGTGATCTGCCACGGCAGAGGAGTTCGTCCTACCGTGTTTCAAGTCTGCTTTGTGTTCGCGGATGCGGTCCGAGATATGTCTTTTGGTTTCTCCAATGTAGCTACTACCACAGAGGCACTTTAGTTTGTAAACGCCCGGGTACTGTATGTCTGGAACAGCATATTTTACAGATGGAACTAAATCACGGATTTTATGTACTGTGTTGAATCGGACCTGGATCTTGTGTTTGTTCAGGATTTTGGAGATCTTTTTAGTGACCCCTGCAATGTAGGGTAAGGTGATGGTTTTGAGTGGCTCCACAAGAGAATCCTTCTTCATGACTGGAGTGATGGCTTTGCGGATTGTGTAGTCGGAGTAGCTATTAGCCCTGAGAGCCTGGTGTACGTGCTTGAGTTCACTGGTAATGTGTTCCTGGTCGGAAATGCATTGGGCTCTATGGTATAGAGTCTTGATGAGGGAGTTCTTCTGGGATGGATGGTGGTGGGAATCCGGTTTCAAGTAAGCATCTGTATGGGTAGCTTTCCTGTAGACAGAGTGGCTCATTGAACCATCATGTCTTCTTTTAATTAAGACATCCAAAAAGGGTAGTTTGCCATCTTTTTCGACCTCCATGGTAAATCTGATGGCTGGGTGTATGGAATTGATGTGGTCGCGGAATTGGTCTAGAGCAGGCTGGCCATGTGGCCAGATGACAAAGGTGTCATCAACGTACCTCTTCCATAAGGTCGGGCGTAGAGTGGCAGTCTGGATGGCGTCAGTTTCAAATTTTTCCATGAATACGTTGGCTACAACCGGAGATAGGGGGGAGCCCATTGGGGTGCCCTCAGTTTGTTTGTAGAAAGTTCCATTCCAGGTGAAGTAAGTGTTGGTTAAGCAATGTCTCACCAGGGGGGGTACATCAGTATGAAGTCCTTGATGAACCAGGTCTTCAATGATAGCGATGGTGTCAGGTACCGGGACTTTGGTGAACAAGGACACCACATCAAAACTGACAAGCAGGTCGTTTGGGGACAGGGAAATGCCTTTGATTGTCGATACCAGGTGAGTAGAATTTAGTACCGCAGAGGTGGTTTTTCCAGTGAAAGGTCGCAGTATATCAGCAAGAAAACGTGCCAGTTTGTAGGTGGGGGAGCTGATAGTAGAGACGATGGGACGAAGGGGTGTATCTTCTTTGTGTATCTTTGGAAGGCCATATAATCTTGGTGGTCTGGCAGCAGAGGGCTTCAACGAGAACTGTTTGATCTCATCAATTAATGCTGTTGAATCAGAGATTATTTTGTTCGTTTTGGTGACCAGGCTGTTGGTGGGATCTCTTTTTATTTTTGTGTAGCTGCCATCGTTGAGTAGTTCTTGAATTTTGTTGTTATATTCTGTTTTGTCCATGATGACAGTGGCATTGCCTTTGTCGGCTGAGAGGACGACAATATCATCCCTATTTTTTAATTGAGATAATTCAAAACGTTCGTCTTTACTGATGTTGCTAGGTGGCAACTTAGCGTTTTTGAGGGTTGCAGCGATTTCAGATCTTGCTACCTCTCACACCACGGTTAATGGTATAGTTTTACAATATGGAGCATACTAGGGCCTCGCAGCTGTCTCTCTCCCCCTCCTCTGTTCCGACCATGGACGAACTCGTCCGTCTGAACGGGTCCCGTAGCTATCCGTGGTGCTGAAATTTGAGGGTAAGAATCCACCCATTTTTTCGCCATATAGCATTGTGATATATAACGACTTATTGTTGGTAGCTTAGCTGATTGGAGAATATAGAGTTTATTGATAACATGAAGGTAATTTATATTTTAGTTTTTATTGGTTCACTATATAGTACTGTGAATAGCTCAGCTGTGTAGTCATTTCTGTGACCAGTCACTAGCTAATCACTCAGTTGTTTCAATGATGGATTCGCCTAGTTATTTCAATGCTAAATTCTCCTGTTTGATTTGTACTAAGGGCCTCGGTGAATGTGTATGCTCTGACTTTAACGTAGCTATTTCTGCAGCAGGTACAAGCTCTATTTCTGCAGCAGGTACAAGCTAACCACTCAGCTATCTCAATGCTAAATTCTATGCTAATTCCATTGTCAAGATGTGTATGCCTTAACTTAGCTATTTCAATGCTAAATTCTATGCTAATCCCTTTAACAATGGGTGCCTCTGCGGGTGTGTATGCTTTAACTTTTAACATAACTATTTCTGTGACCAGTCACAAGCTAATCATTCAGCCATTTCAATGCTAAATTATATGCTAATTCCTTTGTCAAGGCGCTTTGTTCCTCTCACACAGCTTAAAGGCCGTATCTGAACGTGGCTCTTTCACTCCAGCGCTGTCCTACCAGACAGTCTCGCCCCCTTCACCTGATGAAGGCCGCTTGTGTTGTGGCCGAAACGTCGTGAGAATATTATTGTGTTATTTTATTTTATCAATTTATTATTTTATTATCATTCTACGTGACTTTACCGAAAGAACCAAAGAAGATGAATCATTGCAGTCACGAAAGCTTTAAATCGAAATACTGAACATATGAAGGTGGCCAGGCATGGTTCTGTACATGCCACCACCTTTTTACCATGCCAGTGTGTGACACTGTCAAGTTTGTATTTGCAGTAAAGTATATTAACTCTATTGAACACGGAGGTTAAATCAAAACAATAGTTTATTTTTGTTTTCCTCTGGAATTTTTTTTATAAGAATGGAATTGGTCAGGAAATTAACATAGCACATGCAGCTGAAGTTAGATATGTTTATCCGAGCATTCAATCAAATATGAGCCTAGCTTCATACCTCTAAGTTACGATTGAACATTATGCATTTCTGCATAACACATAGTATTATTTTCAACATCCTTTACTATGTTAGCTGAATTTTGGTTTTATAAATATTCCTTTTGTAGGCAGACAGCCGAAATTGTGCTTGAAGTTTTGGGTTGACATTCATTTTGATGATACTAGGGCTTCCAAGCATATTTATGACCATTTGCCCTCTCATTTTGTGCCTTAACAGCCCATGTGATGAATTGGGGAATCGTTTTCACTCTATTATGAATATATGAATAAGTATAAACGTGTAAGTCATGAGTGACTGTGTAAATATGCATTCCTCAGTGCCTCGATACTGACGTAGATGTGGATATTTTTTTCTGTCTGCAGCTGACGCTTCCTCTGACGCTTCCTCTGCAGAATTGATCTCATGGAGCAAAGGGACTCAGCGCAGCTCGGTACAAAAAGCCAACAATGCGACCAGGATGCAAACAGCACGGATCATACTGGAAATTTGACACAGCACCAGAGGACACACACAGGAGAGAAACCCTTCAATTGCACTCTATGCCAGAAGGTGTTTGCAGGGTCATCAGCTCTTAAGATCCACCAGAGAACACACACAGGAGAGAAACCCTTCAAGTGCACTGTGTGTGGGAAGGCGTTTGCACAGTCACCACATTTTCAAAGACACCAGAGAACACACACAGGAGAGAAACCCTTCAAGTGCAGTCTGTGCGGGAAGGCGTTTGCACAGTCACCACATTTTCAAAGACATCAGAGAACACACACAGGAGAGAAACCCTTCAAATGCAGTGTGTGCGGGAAGGAATTTTCATGTTCATCAACTCTTAAAAAGCACCAGAGAACACACACAGGAGAGAAACCCTTTAAGTGCACTGTGTGTGGAAAAGCATTTTCAGGTTCATCTACTTTTAAAACTCACCAGAGAACACACACAGGAGAGAAACCCTTCAAGTGCACTGTGTGCGGGAAGGCGTTTTCTCAGTCATTTACTGTTGTAATACACCAAAGAAAGCACACAGGAGAGAAACCCTTCAAGTGCAGTGTTTGTGGGAAGGCATTTTCAGATTCATCTACTCTTAAAAGTCACCAGAGAACACACACAGGAGAGAAGCCCTACAAGTGCAGTGTGTGTGGGAATGCATTTTCAGATTCATCTACTCTTAAAAATCACCTGAGAACACACACAGGAGAGACACCCTTCAAGTGCAGTGTGTGTGGGAAGGCATTTTCTGGTTTATCTACTCTTAAAAATCACCAGAGAACACATACAGGAGAGAAACCCTTCAAGTGCACTCTGTGCGGGAAAGCGTTTTCACAGTCATTTACTGTTGTATTGCACCAGAGAAAACACACAGGAGAGAAACCGTTCAAGTGCAGTGTTTGTGGTAAGGCATTTTCAAATAAATTTTCTCTTAAAATACACCAGAGAACACACACAGGAGAGAAACCCTTTAAGTGCACTATGTGCGGGAAGACGTTTGCAACGTCATCAAATCTTCATAGACACCAGAGAACATACAGGCATCAGAAGATCCCCAAGGAGTTGAGTCTGAGTCAAAGTGCTGCGATGATCCCATCCCTTGTGAAAAAAGAACTGGAAGAAAATCCCAGCTTGGACACTTTGAAAGATATAAAGTTGAAATATGAAGAGGTGAATTATGAATTTGAAGAAGTGACAGTGAAGAGTGAAGAAGTGAAGGTTAAATATGAAGATTCAACTCCAAAATCGGACCTTCACATCGATGGAAGTAACGTGAAGCAGGAGGAGAATTCTGACTGTGAGGCAGAGCAAGGCAACTCCCAGCAGTTTGTGGAAGTGGAGGTGTGGCTGGACTTCTTAGACAATACAAAATCAAATAGAGACCCTGTAGGTGTGTAATCTTGAGACAATGAAGCTCCAATAGATTCACCTTTGTCACAGGCCTTTAATGAAAATGTGAAGTTGAACACAATTCCTAGGTTCAACCTGCAGAGTAAGAGCGGCCAGTATTTGTGGACCTGTGGATTTGGTAGATCTCTAACCAGGGGTGAGAGCCAATAAGCCCACAAGTATTCACTCTGTTATAATGCATTTTTATGGTGCTTGCTTAATCGCCTCAGCAGCTCGGAGTTTTGTATCATATCTAAACACAAACACTCGAAGGGCATCCCCAAGTGGCAACTGCCCGTGTGTGGCATAAGGTGGCCCTGCACCAGCCTGCATGTGGGCATGAGTCTGTCAGTAGGGGGCGATGATTGATGTGAAATCTTTTAATTTTTGGATATTTGGAATTACCCAAATTTTGACATTGACACCAACATATAATGACTTGTGTTTTGAATGATAATAGTGTGTTTTACATCCACTGTTAAGTAGAAAGTGCATATTTTGGTTAATGTTACTGGAGTAGCTGGGGGGGGGGGGTGCCTGTCGGATTTGAACCTTGAACCTCTGCATTAAATAGAGAATGCGCTCCCACTTGGCTTCGCTCAATCTGAGTGTAGGTATGCCAGCCTTAATATTTCGAACGGACGCAGATATTCCATTGAGAGCGATCCACGTTTCACATGCCTACAGAAGGCAGGGCATGACTGTGGCCGACAAGGTCCAAAGCTTTGTGCGAAGCGACAGACCAGGTAGCTTCCACACAGCATTGCGCAGTTGATGAAAAAAGAATGCTATCCGACTGATTCGGATCACCCACACACTGTAGACATGTATTGTGTACCCACAATGTACACATACAATGTACATACAGCATAAACAGTGTATACATATGTAGTGGCATAGCACTGGCTGCTGGCAGAAAAGGGGATTTGCGGCATATGGCAGTCCTGACGTCAGCAGGCCAGGATATATGAGAGGGGGATCTAGGGGAATGGTCACAGAAGGGGTACACCAGGAATCCGCGAGGAGGTTCCAGGAAGGGGGTGTGGCCGGGGCGGAGCGAGGCCACGCTGACAGTATAAGAGGGGCCTCTTAGAGGAACCTCGGGCTGTTGTTGGAGTGAGATCCCCATTGTGTCCATCGTCACTATTCTTCTCGTCTTCGCCATTCTTCTCGTCATCGTCTCTGTCTCTACCATCTCGGGGAGCCGCTAGTCAGACAGCCTACCAACTGTCCTAGCTGAGTAGTGTCACCGATAATAGACGGACTAAATATTAAGTGTGTTAACCCCGATGGTGCTCGTTAATAAAGAAGTGCCTCCAAGTATTATTGTCTTCGAGTTAGTCACTACACATACACATTAACAAGAACAACAACCGTCATTCGCCACTAAGTGGCGGTGACGTCACCACGGCGCTTGTGCCAGGCTATGTGCACGTTAAGACCACATGAAGTGTCGAACACCCGCCGGCAGGAGGTCACAGGGTAGACCTAGGTGCCATGGGTCGACTGAGATGACTGGCTGATGCACCACCTGTGCCCCCTTCTGTGCCAACACTGTACACAGACACGGTGTGTATACACGCACATATTCTTTGGTTCTTTCGGTAAAGTCACGTAAATAGAAAAAAATAGAAAAATGAAATGAATAAAAAATATCACGACATTGCAATGGAAACACAAGCTGTCATCAGGAAAAAGGGGTTAGCCTCTAAAGGCAAACTGTAAGGGTTTGGAGATGCACATAGCCCAAGTGTATCAGCAGCATGGGCGGGGCAGCAATGCCAATGCAGCAGCAATGCCAATGCAGAAAAGGACCGCCAGGAAATCACTGCAATGCCAATGCAGCAACAATGCCAATGTAACAAAGGGCTGCCAGGAAATCACTGCACCCCACTCCACACACCACACTGCTGACGGTGGAGGTTGATTGACAAGAAAACACAAGTCAAGGCATGACCCAAAGTGGTTGATGACATTTTTATAATGATTGCTGAGTTTATAAACATTTGTGGTGTCACAGCAACGAAGCCGCTCCGTCGGAGCCGTGCCTGCAATTGTGATGCCGCAGCAGCGAATCCGTCCTGCCGACGCCGTGGCCGCGACGCCGCCACCTCCGAGCGACGGGGCCGACGCTGCTCTTCCCTCACCACCCCCCACATGAACACACACACACCCCCACATAGAGCCCCCGAGGGGAGGTCACCTGGCTGACAGGTTTTCACCCAGAAGCCCTCTCATGGGACCAATCTTCATGGTTTTCTGCGACCAGGGAATTGGGCGATCTCCCCCGAGGCTAACTCGCACCGCGGCGCCGTGACTTGGGTTGTAATTACGTGGTCACGACAGGGCTACTCAGACACCGCGGGTAGAAAACATGCACAACACACACGGGTCAGCAGGCAGGTGGGGGGGGGGGTGGAGTCACGAACGGCGGGAAAACGGGGCCGGTCCTCTGATTGGTAGGACAAATGTGCTTGTGTAGAGGGTAAAATGCGGACGTCTGAGAGAGCACCGGCCTGGGGAGAGTGGCAGGAAATCCGAGCCACCTGATTGGCCGGGAAGGCCAGCGGGTCAGCGCCGAATGATTTTTGATGTAGGGAACAATAAAAGGTGAGAGAAGATAGGGATTGAGAAGTCACGTTCTTCTCAAGTCAGGGATCGTGGTAGTCACCTTGCCAGCCATTGGATCGTCCGTGAGACGAGTCACAGCGCAGCCCGGCCCCGCTCCCAGCGAGAACTTCGAGCACCCTCACCTCTCCACGGCTTCCCGCACATCCAAGGCAAAACGTGAGTACGAAAGAGTTGGGATTTAGGGTAAGATCCTAGGGAGTTTGATTCTAAGAGGACGAGGTAGATCGGGTTAGGCCATCAGGAGATAGGTTAGACCTGCCCTGCTTGACTCAGACTGATTTGGGTGATAGCTCGCAGACATGCCTGGAATAAATCGTCAGTGATCAATAAACCTTGTGTGGTTTCTGTGAGTGTGGAACAGGCGCATGGTGGTGTGAGTCCGCTCGTCGTGGTACGGGGATTTGCGCGCGGGTAACTCTGTTGAGGCGGCCATTGTGTGCGCGCCCAACCGGGGTTCTTGCGTCGTGCCCTGTGTTTGGGCGCGAGTGTGTATTTACCCACGTGTTTGCGCTCGCCCATACGTGTAGCTCGTGGTTAGCGTGTGCGTGTGGTGAGCGACGGTGGACTCACCCGGGTACACGTGAGATTATTCATACAGCCTTTTAAATTTTCTTCGAGACACCCCCTCCAATCGGCAACGCGTGTGTGAAGGACGTCATTACCCTCTGACCCCTGACCCCCGTTCAGCGCGTGCGAGTGGTGCGCGGGGTTGTGTGAGCGGAGACGTCGCGTTTGAGTGGCTGAGAAGCAACGGATTGATTCCAGGCAGCTGTGCGCCAGCCCCGAGCTATGCCCCCCAAAAAGACCTGCGGACCCGAGGGGCTGCGAAGCAAGGAGAGGAGACGGAGGGCGGCAGCCCTCCCCCCACGAGCGAGGAGTCGAATAACGGCGGCTCTCACACGAGTGAGGGGTCCGGAGCCCTCAGCCCTACCGAGATCAGCCTTCCCCCAGAGGGGGAGCCGGGGGCCCGCGTCCCTCACACATTCTCTCGGTTGAAATTGTGTCTGTATATATGGGTGGCTTCATAAACAAATCTTTGTTAATAGCCAGTAGGCTTGACAAGTACCGTCATCTTAGAGAAATCAATTTTGTGTGAGCCAACCGCATTAAAATAATGATCAGCCACGGCAGAAGTATTGGTCCTACCATGTTTCAAATCTGCCTTATGTAACTGCGGCCACAAATACAGCAAAATACAGCTTATGATAATAGGGTTTCCCCTTTTTTCTGGCAACAAAACAGGTATTAAGATGTTAAAACACCATAAATTATCAGAGTATTACTCTGGTTCTTTCAGTAAAGTCACGTAGAACATTTTTAAATTAAATAATAATGGAATACGACATTTAGATTGCAACACAAGCAACCATCATCAGGTACAAATGAATGAGAAAACAAACAGTCAACTTGGAAATATAATGCAATACAACACAGAGAGTCGGCCAACACAACAGTTAACACTCACCTGGTTTGGAACGTTCTTCCAAATGTAGAGTAGTAGTTAGTGACGTCATGTCACGCTCGCCCCCCCCGGTATGATGACGTCACGTATGGTGACGTCATGGACAGGGGGCGGGACGGTGACATCATGTCCCCCTGGGATATTTAGGTTGGGACCCGTGACGTGTTCGAGGTCGTTGCGGGGAGCCAGGAATCTGTGAAGTTGGGAGTTGGAACCCAGGGTAGGGGGAAATTAGCACCAGGCTCGAGGAGCCTGGGGGTGTGCTAGGGACCTCCCCAGTACCCTTCCCCTGGGGGAGCGATGGGACCAAGGGTAGGGGGAAATTAGCACCAGGCTAGGGTAGCCTGGGGGTGTGCTAGGGACTTCCCCAGTACCCTTCCCCTGGGGTGTGGAGTGTAGGCAGTGAGCGTGCAGTACACAGAGTCGTGTATGGAGAAAAGTCCTTAATAAAACAACTGGCGCAAGCCCCTACATGAAGATCTGCCTCCGAGTCGTCATTTACGCCTCAACACAAAGATTGCTAAATTTGAGAGAGAGACAAAACATAGACATGGAGACACACAGACAGACACACAAGCAGAGAGAGACTCAGAGAGAGAGAGAGAGACACACATAGGCACACAGAAAGACAACGTCTCTGTGTCGAGGCCTTAAATAGAGAGAGGGGGAGGGGGGGAGCAGTGGGGGAGTTGTGTGTAATTCCTGCCCATAGCGGCCGGAGGAGAGAATGGACTTATTAACAAGCACGGAACAAGCACAGTAGAAAGCAAATTGAGTAAAATTAGGAAGTAATGCAATGCAACACAGAGAGTCGACTAGCACACAGTTAATGCATAGCCTGGTTGATTATGTTCTTCCAAAGATTGCTAAATTAGAAGTTCAGCGTGAAACAAACAAGCATGGCAAACCCTCCCCTTAGAGGTGGTTCAAACTACATTCGAAACTTTCGTGGCTGCAGGAATTACTCTTTGGTTCTTTCGGTAAAGTCACGTAGAAATAAATTAAATAACAATAGAATACGACGTTTCGATTGCAGCACACGCAACCATCATCAGGTTCAAATGAATGAGAAAACATAGTGAACTTGTTTGTGTGTCTGTCTATGTGTCTCCGTGTCTATGTTTTGTCTTTCTCAAATTTAGCAATCTTTGGAAGAATGTAATCAATCAGGTGGGGTGTTTACTGTTGTGTTGGCCGACTCTCTGTGTTGTATTGCATTATATTTCCAAGTTTACTATGTTTTCTCATTCATTTGTACCTGATGATGGTTGCAATCGAAACGTCGTATTCTATTATTATTTAATTTACTTCTACATGACTTTACCGAAAGGACCAAAGAGTAATTCCTGTAGTCACGAAAGCTTCGAATCTAGTTTATTATCAGAGTATGTATTTTGTTTGCATTCTTACCACAAGTATTGTGATTTATGCAGACATGATTCCTTGTAAAAGGTTTCAGTTTGGTGTTTTAGCATCTTAACACCTGTTTTGTTGACGGAAAAAATGGGAAAATCTATCATATGTTGGTACTGGCAAAGGAGATCCCATGATGTAGATACAGTTTAGTTTGTAGATGCCGGGATATTGCACGTCAGGAATCTTGTCCTTCACAGATGGGATCAGATCACGAAATTTATGTACGGTATTAAATCGGACCTGGATCTTGTGTTTGTTCATGATTTGGGAAATATTTTTTGTTACCCCTGCTCTGTATGGCAAGGTGATGGTTTTGATCGGATCCTCAGATAGCTCCTTCCTCACTGTTGGGGCGATGGCTTTGCGGTTTGTGTAGTCAGAATATCCATTCGCCTTGAGAGCTTGGTGTACTTGTTTGAGTTCACTGCTTAGGTGTTCATGGTCGGAGATACATTGAGCTCTATGGTGTAGCATTTGGATGAGGGAATTATTCTGGGATGGACGGTGGTAGGAATCAGGTTTTAGGTAGGCGTCTGTATGGGTTATCTTCCTGTAGACAGAATGGCTCATTGAGCCATCTGGTCTCTTTTTTATTAGGACATCCAAGAAAGGTAGCATGCCATCCTTTTCTACCTCGATGGTGAATTTGATGGCTGGGTGTATGGAATTGATGTGGTTGAGGAATTGGTTTAGAGCCGTTCGGCCATGTGGCCTGATGACATGTACAAGGACGGGCAAAGAGTGAATGCCTGGATGGCGTCCTTCTCAAATTTTTCCATGAAAATATTGGCTACAACGGAGATAAGGGAGAACC